ATATATATATATATATATATATATATATATTATATATACATCTATATCTTATACACGTACACATTATACACACATGAATATGTATATTTATAATTATGACGTAATATGGATATACATGGAACGTGTTTAACTTATATATTGTACAAATTCGTATCTGTGCTACACCTAGTCGATGTAAGCCACCCCTACATCGCTTTAGTAACGTTTTTTCGTACTTTCACCTTTCTTTGCTATATACTACTATTATATATCTATGTATCTATATATATTTATATATCTCTATATATATTTATATATTTATATAGATATATAGATATATAAACACAAATATTATGTTTCTATTTAAATTTACACTTACGTAAATAACCATACACTAAGTTACAGAAATATTCGTACCATTTAGTGCAAATTTAAAAACAATTGATATATCTGTTTGTAATGCAATGTTTTCAAATTTTTATACAAAGAAATATATCTTAGGATTAATAAACTTGTCTATTGATATCAGTTTTATTGATATAAGAGTATTTTATTGTAAGAGAAATATGATTTTACATAAATGAAGAAAATAAATCATCAACTTAAGAAAAATAAGATAATAGATCTTACAAAAGTATATCCATTTCTAAATCATTAAAAAATTCAAAAATTGATCTAGTCAAGTACTACTTAAAAACAAAATTGAGTTATATTATGTCAATTTGAAAGTTTAATAATCCTAAATTAGTTTGTGTGCAAATGCACGTTAAAACTTTGCATTATATGTAAATATAAATTATTTAAAATTGACAGTGTAGGCTAGTACGATTATTTCTGCGACTTATTGTTAGTAGATAATATACGTAAAAGATTCGTCGGATCTTAAAAAGCAAGCTTCACTTATCGAGTAAACTCGTCGAGAGAAAAAAAAACAGCAAAATAATCTTAACGAACTTATTTTCATTAATTAACGTTATCAGAAATATAATAAGTATTCTTAGAATAAAAACTATATTTCAATTCTATTCTTCATAAAAGAAATTTATTGACGTAGTTCGTCAAATATCAATATTGGCATTTTAAAATGAAACAGATCCAATATCTTTCAGTAAATTATTAATTAACTCGAGATGCTACTATTAAAATTTATTTATTCTTTCAATTATATATACTATATATGTTTATCTTTACACGACTTTTTTAAATCTTCAATTAAAATCGAGTAATCAAATAGATGATTAAACGACAATCACCATGCAATAATAATTACGCATACACGCGTCCCCTAACATTTGAACGCAATTTGATATCGATCTATCGCGTATACAAAATTATATATACGTGTATGCGTGAGTCTACACGGAGATCCAATAATCATACAACTTACCTAACAACCAACAATAATAACAACAAGAAAAACAAGCAACAAATAGGAAGGAGAGGTGTGGTAGTAGTGGATAACGGCGAAGCTGAGTCGATCTCGTTAACGTTCCCCTTATTCCTCCACTTTTTTCAAATGGGTGTGCGCTGCTACGGTTGGTATAAACGATAAACGTGTCTACTACTATGTTCTTTCCAACATGACTATACAACGACACTAACAACGACAACGATGACGACGACGACGACGAAAACGAGGACTCGCAATCGCCTTTAGGGGAGTCTTCGAGCGTGAAAGGAAAGTGCGCGCGGGCGCACAAGCGTGAAGAACTCCGAGAGAAAGCGGCCTGTGCTTTCGCTCGATACGAATTTCGAGTTGAGAGAGAAAGAGAGAGATAGGGAGAGAGGAACAGACAGACTCCACCGGACGGTAGAAGAAGAAGAAACAATAAAAAAAAGATTATATACGATGATAAGAGAAGGGAGGTTTTTCCTTCCCTCTCTTTCTCTCTCTTTTTTCTTTTTTTTTCTTTTTCCTTTATTTAAGGTTTTTTTTCACAACTTATAATCTTTTTTTTCTCTCTCCCTTTCTTTCTCTTTCTGTCTTCTTTTACTTCTTTTTACGAGATTTTCGATGCCTACGAGTTTTTCATTTTTAATTGGAACGATCTAACATGATCGTTCTAACGAAGAAAAATGGAAGGAACTGTATGGAAATCGCGTTAAGTCGAACGATTTCTCTCTCTCTCTCTCTCTCTCACTCACTCTCTTTCTTTTACTCTTTTTTTCCTCTTTCTCTTTCTCTGTCTCTCTCTTTTTATCTTTTCTTTATTTTCTACGAGCTCAGAGTTTTCTTTTATAAAATGTTTTATATATATATATATATATATGAGAATGACGATAAATATTTGTCGATATTGAAAAAAAATAAATATTTTTTACGAAGGAAAGTTTTCTTCGTCTTAAAAACGCCCTTTTTGCGTTATTTTCTAATCGATATATTGACAAGAATATTTTAGAAATTGTTAGTGATAACGAGAAATATTCTACAATGATGTCAAATTTTCTCCGTTCTCACTGATAATTTCGATATTGGTGTGTGTCAATTAAAATTGAACGAATTATGCATATTGATGATGTATCCGAAAGGATTGTACAACTGAACTGGACTTGATTTTACATGTAAAAATATATAAGTCGATAACAATAGAATAACATATTTTCATTTGAGGCCTTGTTTTTGAGAAAATCGTTCTCGTAGTGTGTTTATCTTTTCAATGACGTATCAATTATAAAAACATTTTCTTTCGTTTACGCTTTCGAATTCATTGTTCTTTGTAATGTTTAACATTTCACCTTCAATCGTTCGACTTATATTTTCCCTTTTAGTGTAGTCTTTTTCTATCAGTCGAACTGCGACGCGTTTCTGTGGCAATTGAATATTTCCTACGATACGATTTTCAAATCTTCTTTCATTTGTACAAAAGTGTACAAAAGAACAGAAATTCATTAAGTAAGTATTCTTTTATAATTAAAAATATAAATTATTAATCAGGTAATAACATAAATTATTTAAATTTACAATTATCTTACACGATTTTCTCGAAAACATTTTTTCAAACAAAAAGAATGTTACTCCTTTTTATCGATTTATATACTTATATATAGAATCACCCCTTGTAAACAACACACCCTTGTATAATATGAGTAAGGCCAACATTTATCTATGAATCTATCTTTCTTTTCTCTTTCTTTCTCTCTCTCTCTCTCTCTTTCTCTCTTTCGCTGCTGATTTCGAGAAAAGCAAGAGCCATTATTATCGTCTCCCTATATTTTTCTCTAAATTTCCTTGTATTCCTAAAACAACCCTTCGTCCCCCTTATTCCCTTTTTCGGGCCGACCATAAATTTTCTTAAAAAAAAAAAAATGTACGCGATCGTTCTCGTGGCGAGTGCCCCATTCACGTTCTGTACACGGTGCTTCTTGAAAGGTTTGATGACGTGGAGCCTGGTTGGTTGGTGTTTCAGTCTCCGGATACTCAGGCATGGCAGAATGATTACCTGCAAGGCACGGGCTGCGAGATGTACACGGAAACCCTCTCCCCGTCCTTTACCGGGATGACATTTCCCCAAGCCAGCGAGTAAGTTCTCGCTGCCATCAGCTGCAACACTCGCGTGAACATCACCAACGACACATTTCATATACACATACATTTACACACACACGCACAAACGCATAATTTGCATACATATACTTACGGAATGACGACGATGACGACAAATACGAAGACGGCAAATAGACTCGTATAATAACTACGTTTTTTAACTAGTAAAAGAAAACGCTCGATTCGTTGTGTGTTTTTGACTGCTAACGAGTTTAAATTCGCATTAAATTATTTTTTTTATTTTTTCTTCTGATTTTTTTTTGTTTTTCATTTTTAATTAGATTTAATAACGTCACATGCATACACAGAATACACGCATACACATACGTAAATTTATACATAAACACAGTTTGCAACACTCGACGACATCCGAATGCGATTCTATATTATATCTTTCTTCATATTGTGTAGATTTCTTACATTTTTTATATGTATATTATACTTGTGGATATTTCCATGTTACGATAACAGCAGTGTAT